TGGTTACTGCTGGGAGGGGTGGGCGGGAGCTGTAGAGCGTCATCTGGAAACGAGAGGAGGGGGGTTAGTGAGCTCATTCTGAAACATCATCCTATTCTGTGATAGATGAAACAACACGTGCGTATGAGACGTCAGAAGACCTGAGTGCTCAAAGCTTTAATCAGTCCTTGGTTCATTGACTTATTTTGGTATCAAGTGTTTCTTTATTAATCACAAAGTTGGCGTGTATGTATTTTGTATTTGTGAATGAGGTGCCCCATTAATAAAATGTGTCTGAATGATTGATGAACACAGAAAGTAGATCCACAGAAAATGCATTTAGTGATTTACAGACTTACAAAAAGCTGTGAATGAGAGGCTGAGGTTTTTTATTTGATGCTCTTGACTTATATTATCGTGTGTCCTCTCTCCCCCCTTAATATCGCTCACCCTCAGCCATCCATTGAGGATTTTTTAAATCCCATAATTCCCCTAAAGTAGACCCTGAGTGAGGATGCTTCTTTAGGAGCTTAGAGCGAGGAAGCACAGGTTCATCCCACACAGACGTCTCTTATCAAGTGGCTCGTATTAATGCTACACCTCCACATGTGACACACAGCTGTGCAGACGCTTTGTCACTTGTATGTGTGTGTGTGTGTGTGTGTGTGTGTGTGTGTGTGTGTGTGTGTGTTGTTTCTGTCTGCCTGCCTGCCTGCCTGTCTGTCTGTGTGTGTGTGTGTGTGTGTGTGTGTGTGTGTGTGTGTGTGTGTGTGTGTGTGTGTGTGTGTGTGTGTGTCTGTCTGTCTGTCTGTCTGTCTGTCTGTCTGTCTGCCTGCCTGCCTGCCTGTCTGTCTGTCTGTGTGTGTGTGAGCGTGTGTGTGTGTATCCACTCGTGTGTGGTAAGCTGTTGCACCCCCCCTCCCGCAGGTGATTGTCAGCTTGGCTACCTGAGATAGTGTGTGTGTGTGTGTGTGTGTGTGTGTGTGTGTGTGTGTGTGTGTGTGTGTGTGTGTGTGTGTGTATGTACCGCTGGGCAGGCTGAGGTACTGTCCAATCTCTTTGGGTTCATCTTTTATGGCGACGGGCTTCACGCTGTCTGGACTGGGCTCCTGCAGAAACACAAAAACAACAATAATCCACTTTTGAACAAACATGAAAAAAACAACATCATTTGTAGCGTCTCGCGGTATGAAGGATGCTAACCGTGTGTTTCCATGGAGAACCTCTGTGTGGTGGGGCGGGGCTTAATGTGAGGGGCGGGCCTTCGTGAGGCTGAGGATCTAACCTTTGACCCACATCCGGCTCCTCCTGTTTCACCAAGATGGCCGAAAGGTCCTGACTGAAGCTCCATTCAAATTCTAAGAGAGAGACAAAACACCATCAAATCAAAATCAACAGACATTTAGCAGCAGTGATATTATTTCAAACACCTCTCAAACTTGTCCACTTTTCTATCAATGGAGAGAAGGTTAGTTAGTGGTTTTTGTTGGCAAACTACTGTTCCCAACATCAGGAATAAACGCAGAAAATATCACACTTCACTTGTGATATTAAAACATCTTAATATCAACCTAGAAAGCTCATCACCCTTTTTAAAAAGCAGAATAAACTCAATTTTCAGAGCAACTTGAAGAAATGAACCTAGGTATATTTCTCTCCCGGGACCTTCAGGGAGGTCTTCCAATGGGAAGTAACTGGTAGCTTATAAATCACACTTTGAAGGAGCTTCCCCAAAACATTTGAGCACTTCCTGACAAGACTGGTCATTACAGGCTGCTGGACAACGTCTCTTTGGCATCTGTGGTGCATAATTTGTCTCTAGTGAATTTGTATCTACCCTGAAATAAAAGATGGGCTGAACCTGCACCTTGTGTTCAGGATCCTTCCCGAGAAACGAAACGACCGCTGCCTTTAAACACTACAGAAAATATGCATAATCGGGAACATTTTAAAGGAGGTTCCCTCAAACACAATGAGGTGATTCTCACAGGTACTCCCTTGTTTAGTCTAGTGTGAGCTGCAGAAAGTATTTTTAGCAACATAAGTGCCAGTGCAGGGTAACTAGTCACCAGTTCTCCTGGTTTATTTGGTGTCCTAGTGGGCAAGATGATGAAAAGGCGGAGGGAGAGGAGGCTGCCAGCGCCGGCCACAAACCAGGGTCACAGGGATCGGTGAAAACCAACACCATGAGTCACTGAAAAACGTCTGCACTTCATCTTGTAAACTGTAGGGGACAATGTGTTTATAAGGGGCCCAAATGAACAATATATCTATACATTTATAATCGTTTTTATGGAGAGTTCTGCACATTTTACACATGAAGATCAGTTTACTTATCATTGAAAGTCTTACTCAGCCTGTCAAGAAACGTGTTTCATGTATTCTGTGTCATGGGATCAGCGTTGTTAAATTGGTATTTTAATTTATAACAGAAAGCCTGAATTGCAAGTAGATTTTCACAGTGTTGGTGATATTAGAGATCAAATTGAGTTGCATTATGGGAGTTTTATTAGTTCAATCCACCAGTGGGACACAAATATGAGTCCACTCTTTTTCTTAATTGGGCATTGCTTATATTGAAGTGCGATATTAAGTTGCTGTAGATCTTTTATTTAAATTCTGACACTGCTTATCCACACAGGAAACGTTTATAATGATGAACTTGCTGATGCGTCTACTGGAGTTAAAGATTCACTATGTATGCTTTCAATTAAGGCCGTGTCAGAAGTGAGTTTATTACTATGCAAAAGTCCACCTAACAGAACTTTACATTCAACCTTAAATTGAAAAGAAACAGTATGTTTTAAGTGGCAAATTAAAAGTGAAAAGTAGCTGCAGGTAGAGAAGTGTTTTTCCTCGAGTAAGCATTTGTAAACTTTAGAAAAGGACCGACACTTTGTGTGTGTGTGTGTGTGTGTGTGTGTGTGTGTGTGTGTGTGTGTGTGTGTGTGTGTGTGTGTGTGTGTGTGTGTGTGTATGAGTGAGTGGACGTCATTTTAATCACCTCCTGGTTTCCTAGCAACATGTCTGCCGGTAAAATGCTCTGAAGTTTA